TCAAAGAATTGTCTTGAACTCCGGGCACACCGTACTACTACTACTACTACTACTACTACTCTACTCCTACTACTCCTACTACTACTACTACTACTACTCCTACTGCTACTGCTACTGCTACGACTGCTACGACTACTACGACTACTACGACTACTACGCCTACTACGACGACGACTACTACTACTACTGCTCTTGCCGTTTAATTCAGGATGAAAACTTTGCTATTTCAAGTTCAGGCTTCGGGACGTGGGGTCAGGGCACATTATCTCAGCATGCAGCTCGCGGCTGGAGATTCTTGTCGCATTTTCACGTCGCTCACGCATTTGCGCGGGACCTTCCAAGCAAACGAGCATTGAACTTGTTTTGGTGAGTCGGGAACTGTATTTGCATGATGGGATACGACACGGATGAAACCCGGGAAAGTCAAAGCCTGGGTCCCCCCAATCCTTCACGTACGCCAGGGCCGGGGCAATCGAACGAAGGTGAGACACCTCCAGCGCAGCCGTTGCATCACGAGAAGGCCTTGCAATGAAGGTCCTCGATTCGGGAACTGTGGACCTTTCCTGTCTGAAGGGCCTGGGATGGGCCTCCTACCAGCCCTCCTTCTTTTAGCTACAAGGAAAAAAATATCTCAGCCGGTGACGGAGGCATGCAGCGCAGTCATTTTTGCGCGGTGTCCTCAGCTTCCAGGTCGGGGCTTCCGAGGCTTTTGGGGGCATAAAAGCGGCTCTAGGACCTTAGGGTTCAGAACCCAGGGTTGCGGGTTTCGGGCTGGAAGCCCCGATGCCTAAACCCTGGTAGAATCCTTATAGCGCCTTGTTTTGCGTTTGGGGCTCAGTGCGACGACTGTGTACAGGAGTACTTGCTGGGCGAGATCTGCTTAGGCCAGATGCCAGGAACTCACCCAACATGTGCAGCTCTCATTAACCAGCAGAGTCTTCCCAAAATGGGTCCCTCATGTTTCGGAACTCCAACCTCTCAGACCTCCCAGCATGCCAGCCCAAGCACCCGGAACCAAACTGGGTGCGCTGCCCATTGCCAGGCCAGGAAATACGTCCTGGGCGGATAGGGCTTCAGGCCGGCTTCGGGGCTTTGTCCTATCCGGGTGCCCTCTGGATTTGGCACTAAATGCTTACCCATACTATTTTGGGGGTTCCTTATTATAAATATAGTAGAATGTACCCCCAAACCCTAATCGCATTATTAAGGCCCCTATATTATGCAAGGGCTAGCAAGGATCCTCGACGGGGTTCACATGTGCTGCTGCAAACACCTCCAACAACCTAAGCTGTGGAGCATTTCATATAGAACCCTTTCAAGACCCCTTATTGTAAGGCTTGTGGGCAACAGCGAATTCAAAGGACTTTTTTGGTTCGATCTGCGGATCCATGGGTCCTCGTCCAGAATCTCGGGACCTCCCTGGAAAACCCCAAGGCCTGAGCCCTAAATCCAAAACCCTGCATTGGCGAGGAAGATTTGCAGGCATAAGAAGGTTCCGCTCCATCTGGGTTGTTGCCACCGAATCCTCGAATATGGGGGCCTTAATGGGCCGTAGCTTAATAAATCAAGGAGGTGCGGTAGATTAGTACATATGCATAAGGCCACCAAATCAGGAGATACTACAACTAGAATGAATGATTTTGCAGGTGTTTATGGTCGCCCTCGACCACAAGGGAAAAGACTGGAACTGCAGCATGAGCTTCGGTAGACCTGTGGTTCAGCGAATTGGATGTAACCGGCGGCCACAGAAACACGGAAAACTGCAACTACTCCTTGGCTTGCCCTCTCTTACTGCAGCATATGTGCCCGATCCCCATTAGAGCTAAGCATGGCCGTAAGCTCAATTCTTGGCATGCGGAGTCTAACGGATGTGTCGGATACCCCGAGCTCGGAATCCTCCCCTCTCTCGGCATGGTTACCGGTGGTTCCCTGTTGGGGCCATATTAAAAATGATCATTTTAATCGGTTTTATTATAACAAACATGTAAAACTGTATCCAACAAGGACCCAGGTTTGGGGACACGAGGAGCTGCTTGGGGTTCCCTAATATGATTCCCTGTGCAGCCAGCGGTGTCTTTGCGGCCAAAGGGTCTTGAGGTGGTTTGTGTTCTCCTGGAGGTATTCCAGCAGGTGGTCCTCCCGAACGTGGAGAAGAAACGAATACTGTTAGTGACCCACCGAATTGGAACCTTTCTGTCAAAGCCAATTCGGGCAGAATGCGCAACGGATCTCTATCAACATCGGAAACCGCCATCCTCAGCCCGGCAAGGTTGCGAGCAACCAAGCACACGCTTTCATGCACTTATGTATATGTATACGTATCTATGTATATATATATACACATATATATATATATCTGTGTGTGTATGTGCATATGTATGCATGTCTGGATGGGGACATGAATGAATTTTGCGTTCCTGCACACATCATTGCACAAACAAACGTGTATGTTCGCAGGTGCATGCACATGCACTGCACGTGCATAAATACGTACAGAGGCTCGTACGCACATACAGTATGCGTCGTTTTGCCTGTCTGTGCGCATCTGTGTGCACGCGAAGCGGATTATGTACAGCAAAAGGTGCTTCATGTCCGAGCTTAGTTTCCAAGTCTCCGCTGAGCATACAAGTCGATTGCTTTCTCTACTGGCCGCGATGTCCAGAGTTTCAAGGGTTCCAGACAGACGTGCGTTTGGGATTTGGCGTCTCTTGCACGGCGCGCCTGGATAGCCTTCACGCTATCTTTCGGCAGCTTCTGTCGAATTTCTGCCAGGAGCTTCCTGCAAGCTGCCGTTGTGTCCAATGTAGACAGACAGCATGGTCACCCTGTCTACCGAAGATGACACACCGACATGGTGCCCAAAGCAACCGCAGGCTCGTGAAACGCGGTAATTAAGGGTTATAGACTCTGAGTGGCGCAAGACAGGTCTGAAATCTAGTGCTGCATATGGACTGGCACGTGAACTCAACCTCTCGATGGTGTCGAATGAAAGATGATTACCCGTCCATAGAGCCCTGCACTAATTCGTGGAAAATACCTGTCCGGAAATCCAGAATGAAATCTGTGGTACCAGTAGCTGAGAAACACTCTCAGAATAGCACCATTTTGAAAAGCAGGAGGACCAGGAGAAGGAGCAACCCAATTAAGCTGCAGTGGTGATAACCGTCGTCGTCGCAGTCGTAGCAGGTGCAGTAGCAACAATAAAGATCTCTGGACACTACAGGTACCCAGCACTCTCCGAAACGTTAGTTTATCGCCCGGCCTCGACAGACCATCCTTCAGATTCACGTTCTCAAGCGCGGAATTGAAGATCTGTTTCACCTGCTCCACAAGGCTTTCGGTTTGGGGTAGGCTCAGGGTTGTCATTCGGCATGATAGTTTTCGGGATTGAGGGCCACAGTAACCTTTCCAAAGTCCGAGTTTGTTTACAGCTGGGATTCAGCAACTCGTAAGGGCCATTCAAGACAAGCGCACTAGATGCTTGAGATTCCTATACTGCGAATCCTGTCTTGGCAGTGTAAGACATGATAGATTCAGGTCTTGCCGTTGTGGCTAGAGTGCTTTGCGATGAATTCTGCAGTTCAACTTCGTTGGCATGAGGCCATGTTGGTGAAATCGCGCGCAAGATTGCGGTGTCACACCAAGTCGTGCAGAAACTCCGCAATCCTCAGGTGTATGCAGCCTCCTCCGATGTCAGCATTTCCAACTTGATCTGGTGACCTGGAACTCAGAGGCTTGCAATCTTTGGCTTGAGTACTCTAGAGGCGTGTTTGAGCTTGCTTCCAGCGCAAGCTCTGCCGGATTCATCTGCCGAGGAAGCTTGCCATCATGTTGAGAGTTGTGTCATCATTTCTGGTGGAGGTGTGACCATATCCCAATCAGCAGCGAGTTCACGCCAACAAAACCAAACCAACACATGATCCTAGACAATGGCAAAGCCAACCAAAGGCTGACAGGCCTGTCCTGAAGGACAAATGATCCCGGTTGAGGACTCGCTCCCTCTCGCCGTTGTGTCCAGGCGGCAGAAGTCCATGAATCTGTCGTGGAAGAGGGCCGTCGCCCACTCGTCCGCAAGGAACCTCCGCATCGATGGAACTCGCGGCTCTCGGCTTGCATGGCTTTCCTAGACTCTAGAGAGGGCATGGCATACCTGAGGAAATGCCAAGTGTATTCACTGACATGGTGCATAGCTAACGGGAAGAAGCTACCTACAGAGATCTGTCTAGATAGAAGCTTTAATAAAGAGGAGTTGGGAGACCTCGAGACCAATTCTGCCATGTGCGGGCGTAGATGTTCCAGGGCCCCGGCTCTACAATGTCGGGGATGTCATCGTCCCTGACAGGCGCTTCGCAGTGAAGGCAGTGGTGACGGCATGTCCCTCCCAAAAACTGCCCTTTCAATACGCAGCTTCAACAACGTCGGTGCGTGCTGGCCTCCATCTCTGGTACAAGTGGTTCAGGAAGGTTTCGCTGAGGCCGACTAAACCTCCGTTGAGGGTGAAGCTGGCAGAGTGAAGGCACACTAGTGGATGAGGCCAGCCCATGCATGCAAACTAGGGCTGCCTTGATGAGAAGAAATACCATGATTTCGCATAGTCCTGCTGTAGCTCCGGCTGCCAATGCAAGGCCCTGTGAGAACCAGTGAGAAGCAGTCAGCTATGGGACTGATGTCATGTCAGGGCTGCTCGGCTCAGCAATCCTTTGCTTGGGGCCTCCGTTCTGTTTTCGATACCCGCAGAACCACACATGAGCTACCATCGTAATGCGCGGCAGCATCAACTTTATCGGCGAACCATCACCCTCAACATCTTCTTCTTCTTTTCACCATTATCAGAATCATTATCATCAACATCATCCGCCCGTAAGCACAATAAGGCTAGACTCCTAAACCCTACAACCTAAGTTCATGAAGCCCTAAACTCGACAAACCCCGATACCCTCTGCCGCCCATGCAAAGAGTGGTAGGATCCTGGCTCCACAGCGACTCTACTTGCAAGGCCTCGCCACCTTGAGATGCGGGGGCTGAGACTACCATGTCAGCAACACCGGCCTGGGTGTCAGGGTTTGGGGTGGAAAGTTTCAGGACTTTGTGGTTTTGTTGGGCTTTCGGGCAGTGTAGTGTTTCAGGGTTCGGGGCTGTAGTTATGTTTAGCATGAGCAGACCCCAGAACTCCCATGAAGTACCCCCGAAACCTCGCAAACTCCCCTACACAAGGAGCCCTCCAAGAAAGACAAGAGAAGTAGAGGGCAACCACTAAACACTGAAGCCTAACTAAGCCCTCCATGAGAACGCTGGATCCCTAAACCCTGAGCTGCCTCAAACCTCCAAGCCCTAACCACTGGAACCCCGAAACCCTGCAAGTACCTTTGTCCCGAAACCCTAAACCCTTGCAGCTCTTAGCCCCTGCAGCCTAAGCCCTCTTTAGGGTTGTCCCGGGTTGTAGAAGGCCGGACGCATGCCCGAGGAAGGGGCCCTCACCACAAGTAGAAATAAGCTTGCGCAGGGTTCTTATGGAGGAACTTACTTCGAGTGCCATGGACCTTACTTAGAGTTATCATGGTGCGGGTATTTAGGAACCACACATGCCATAGTTTTCCTACCTTAGCTGATGTTTCTGAACAAAAGCCGGTTCTGGGTCATGCAGACTTTTGTGTTATGTCTTTGAGGCTTTCGGAAGCCTAATGCCCGCAACCTGCCCCGAAGCCCTTAACCTCCACCCCCCTATAGAGACGACCCGCAAACCCTAAACCTGAACTCAACCCCGAAAGCCCCCTTATACTTACCCTAAACCCTAAAACCCTAAAACCTGAACTTAACCCCGAAAACCCCCTCTATGCTCGCACCTAGATAGGTGATGGAGTCGACCTTCCCACACGAGTCCAGGGTCAAGCGACCTTATCGGGAGCTCCGGTGGGCCAAGAGGTTTGGAAGCTAACGGGAAGGGTCTTTCGAGTTCAAGAGCTATTCCTGGGGTCACGAAAAGGGAGGACTCTACCTGTAGTCTTTTTGGGGCATATCTTGAGGTATAGCCGGTATAGCTCTGAAACTTAGGGGGGAGGGTGGAGGTCCGAGATCTCTGCTTGCGGTTCGTTCCTTGGAAACTCAATGTAGGCCCAAGTGTAGCCTAGTCACTAAGTCCCTGGATCCTTCCAGTGGAGGAATGGGCGAAGCAGCTTCTTCGGTCCGCGAGTTTCGAAAGTGTAGCTCTACATGCACGATTTCAACAAACGACACATCCATTGCAGGATGTCTGCGACACCAACCCGAACATTAGGAAGTGGGGACACTCTCTGCCGACAAAACCCTTTTCGAGGTCCGTGCAGAAGTGGCCCTTGCCATTGCTGAGGTCCAGCGTGTCTGTCACCTGGGTTCCGGGCTTCTTTTTGCACGTCGGGTTGGATGCTTCGATTCTTTGGAGACTTGTGCATGTTGGAGTAAAGCTTCTTGCAAGAACAGACGGAATAGATGTAGCGTAGACAACATTCACAATCACAATCAGCGTAGTGTTCGTAGTAGGAGCCACAATGTGCTACAGCTGCTTGGCTTCTGAGCAACCGCAGCAATGGCCTCTATGATGCTCAACAGCATTTCAACGGCAATAGCACGCTTCAGGTAGAGCCTGGGACTCGGAATCTTCGTAAGCCCACCTAACACCATGGTCATCTGTCAGGCCGCTCGGCATCTCCAAAAGTGCAGGAAGACTGATGTATACCATTCCAAGCATCTGTGCGTTTTCTCCAAGCCTGAAGCCCTGAGTATCATTGACTTGGGCTTTCGCTTTCGGGTGGGCAGCTCAGGCCGTGACTATCACCTGCTCTTCCTTCTGCTCAGTCGGTTCTGCCTGCATGTTCCGACTCTGGCCATCCTAGAGCCTCTTCTCAAACAGCCCGGCACCCCAGGCTCCTCCGTTGAAAGCTTGAGTCTGAAAACTTGCCCGGAGGAACACTACCTCGTATAAGGGCTTCTCTAGAATCCAGGTGCATGCGCCTTGTACCGACAGACAATACAAGCAGTCATAAACAGCTCGAAGTGTGCGAAGCAAATCTTTACTGCGGCAAAGAGGGACAGTACGATTCCCCACGCACCACAAAGGTCCCTTGTGTTTTGTGAAGAGGATGCAATTCCCGAAACAAGAACTTCAGGCAATGGAACCCATGGCTGAATCTGCTTTCTGCATCAGGGACTGACTTTCGCAAAAGCAGGGGCCTGTTGTAACTTGTAACGCGTCCTTGCGTTCAGGATCCTACTGCTTTGGGTGTATGAGTGGCTTCCGTATTCTCAAACTCCCATCTGCTGTGACTCGTCGTTCTGGAGAGGGAACCAACAAAAAGGCCTGCACGTCGCCGCGCCGACAGGCATGAATTCCTGGGAAGTTGGGTGAGCGGCCCAAATTCTGTTCCAATGCCAATTGCTCCAGACTTCTAGCCAGCAGCAACCAACCACGGGAGCATCATTCAATTTCAGAAGGACAACCCTACAGGTACGGTGGTCATCATGAATGTCACCGCAGCTCCCTCTCGGCACCGGGCTATAGTAGTGGAGATTTCCGGGCAAGAGACCTCCCTTCGCGATCGGCCTGATGGTGTCCAGGGTTTAAGCTGCAGCATCTATGCTTCTGAAAAGCATTGGGCCCGTGAGCAGCTAGACATTCCTTCTTGGGGTGCTTCAAGTTGTATGGTGAAAACTCCATGCTCAGCCGAACACTCCAAGTCGGTCAAACTAAGGGGTTTTTGATGCTGTAGCGCCATGAGCGTACACACTGATACAATATAAGCCAGACTGGACTCCGTCAGCAGGTTCCCCATGTGTAGAACCTTGCTATTGCAAGGCCGCACGAAAGCTCCTGATCGCTAAACCCTGAAGCCCAAACCCGTAACCTGCTAGACCCAGGGTGGGAAGTTGAGCAGTGTAGGATTCCAGGATTCAATAATTCAGCGTGTAGGCATTTTGCACCACCTTCGGAAGGACTCTATTTAAGGCCGGGAGTTTCGGCGCCGTTATGCTTCTGGAGTGATTAGAACCTGGATTGAGGCATGTCGATTGCTCCCCCTTTCTAGCAGAGTTACGAATGAAATTACGAGATCTCCTCATCCTCCAAGAAAGCCCTCCTCTTAATTTGAGGATGGAGCATGTAGAACTCGGGCAATAAGTCCGGCGATGCCTCCTCACCAGTGGCTATGATGCCGGACATGTGCGCACACATGCATACCAATATGTGCATGTACTCTGTGCATGTAATGTAAAATACTGTCAAGCAATGTAATGTAATATGACGGTGTCATGTGATGTAATGTCATGTAACGAAATATAATGTAATGCAATGTAATGTATGTGAGTCTGTCTGTCTGTCTGTCTGTCTCTCTGTCTGTCTGTCTGTCCGTCTGTCTCTGTCCGTCCGTCTGTCTGTCTCTGTCTGTCTGTCTGTCTGTATGTATGTATGTATGTCAGTATGGAAGTAGGTAGATAGCTAGGCAGGTAGGCAGGAAGGTGGCATGTATGCATGCATGCATATATGTATTGTATGTA